AAGCAGAAAGATTGTCGTAACCGTTAACGATTCTGTCGTAAGACTTAAGTCGGGTGTCAACGCACAAAGAATTGTCGTAGACATAATTGTTGCCTTTGTCGCATCGCAACGTGACGTACGGACCGTGTTTTGCCATCAGTCTGAAGGCCTGTCTCCACGATGCTAGGACTTGGTCCAAGTTCTAGCATCGTGGACACAGGCCTTAAGGACCTGAGCAGAAAGATTGTCGTAACCGTGTATGATTCTGTCGTAAGACCTAAGTCGGGTGTGAACGCACAAAGAATTGTCGTAGACGTAATTGTTGCATTTGTCGCATTGCAACGTGACATACGGACCGTGCTCTGCCATCAGCCTAAGGACCTGAGCAGAAAGATTATCGTAACCATTTACGATTCTGTCGTAAGACTAAGTGTTAACGCACAAAGAATTGTCGTAGACGTAATTGTCACATTCGTCGCACCGAAAGACGATATACGTCTACGACAATTCTTAGTGCGTTGACTTCCGACATAAGTCTTACGACAGAATCATATACTGTTACGACAATCTTTCTACCCGGGCCGTTAGGCTGATGTCAGAGTATGGTCCGTAAACGCTTCAGACTATCTTAACCTAATATTACATTTGTCGTACGACAAATTTTTTAAGCGTGTTGATTGGCTGTTAAATATAAAATTTCTAGATACTTGAGAATTTTACTATCTTGCAGCGTATCAACGTGTTTAAAAACATCGTCGTACGACAAATGTAATATCAGCCTTAGTCTTAGACGTAAGGCAAGGCGGAGAAAAACGTAAGTCCTATACAAGAGCCTTTCACGACTTACGTTTATCTCCGCCTTGCCTTACGTCGACGACTAAGAGTCTTAAACGTTTATGGATCGTTCTCTGCCATCAGCCTTAGGCGTCTGATCGTTGCGGCGAACTTTTGCGCGGCCTGCTGTGACAGTCGCGAGCGACTATTTTCTCACAAAACGCTTTTCATCGCTGGAAAGTGTGCTCTTTCTAAAGCGAGATAAAGCGAGAGGTTTGAAAAAAATCATTCTAACACCGTAATACTTTGATACGAATTTTATTACTTACATTTTGCATGAAACATTCGATGAATAACAATGCTCTGAATAATTGGAAAGCTCAAAAAATCTGGCGCTCACACCTGGCTGTATGTTGTTTTTTTATTCATCTAATATTTCTTCCATATACGCGCACTTTACGTGCATGCTTTATCGTGCATTTCTTTTGAAGCCTGTGTTTTGTTTTCTATTTCGTTTCAGTTTGCTTCGAGCTAAAATGTTGACGGGGTTAACGGTTTTATTTAACGTAAACACGAGAGAAACGTGCGAAACTCCTTTTGCCGTTGCAATTATAAATGCATTCGCAATTTTTAATGAAACGCCGATTATTCCATAACGAGAACCAAATATTCGGCAAGTAATTGTCGAGCGTTTTAATCACGTCTCCTTTCATCGACTATAATACAAAATTCATATTTTATTTTTCAATATTCACAACAATGTTTTAGCAATTTTCGTTGGACTTTCTGCATGAATTGTTTAAGTTTTTCTCTCTTTTAATTGAATAGATTCATAAGCGTTGCGTATTTTTAATTAGAAATAACGATAATCGCGAAGATGATTGAATGGACTAATATGTATTGTTGCGTCCCAACGGCGGTTGCATACAAATCGATGTAGAAGCATACGTAAACGGTGTGTCAATCAAATATTCGGCGCAAATCGTCATATTATTCAACGGAATTCACGCTAGGCGTTCCAATCGTTACAAAGCTGTTACGTAAAACGTACGTGTCGCGATAAAATTTCTAGTTGTCAACGGGTACTACTATTATTTGCAGTAAACTGCAGAATAATCTCGGCTAATTCAATATCGACAAAACTGGGGAACACGTGCTTGACTTCTACGCCCCAGCTGTGATTCTGCTTAATGTATCTGTATCGTATAACGGTGTACGATCTGGCTCCAATTTCAAGTATTCCCACGATTACGTTGGATCGCGGTTGGCCACACACGGAGAGAATTTTCTCTGAAAATTTATCCTGAAAATCGCGTGATCGTGGGACAACGTGGCATTTTGAAGAAATTTATGGGAGTTTTTTAACATTTTACCACACATTTTACTAGTAAAATTGACAAACTCATAAAACTCTTCAAAAATACTATGATTATATGATTTTACTAGTAAAATGTATGGTAAAATTTCTAAAAACTCTCATAAAACACTTTGACACGCCGTGTTATCACACGATTACAATATCTTCAGGATAAATTTTCAAAGAAAATTCTCTCCGTACAGAATTGCCGCACTCCGCGATACATTTTACAGTAAAATGTATGGTAAAATTTCAAAAACTCATAAAATTCTTCGAAATGCCATGATTATATGAT